CAGGTTTGTGAGAAGTTAAAATTATAGTTTAGAATTCTCTCTTGCTTACATTAGAAACATTATTGGTTTAACATTAGACAACTTACATTAGAAATATTAACTATTGGTTTGATGTTTACAATGGAATACTTTTTGAACTGCTTGAACTGGAAGACTGTAAAAGAAGTTTTTGGAATTTAACTGCAAGGGTGCTTTTATGACGGTTAACTGCGTTCTCCGTTCTAGACCAAGACTTTTGTTCAAGGGCAGTGAATTTTGGATATGAATTAGCGAGGTCCAGATGAAGCTTATAGAGTTCATGTTCCAGTTCATGTTCATGCCATGAGAAGCCCCCTCAGTCCCATCCTGGCTGATATCTACATGCATTATTATGAATCAAAATTGTTTGAAACTTTAAACTTCCCGACATGGTTCCGCTATGTAGACGATACTTTTACCCTGTTTGAAGGTAATAAAGATGATTTAAATAATGTTCTTTCAACAATGAGTTCTATTGATCCTGCTCTTCAGTTCACTTTTCAACTTGAGACTTGCAATTCTCTTCCGTTTCTCGACATTCTGGTCACACGTAACACATCCAACTTCAGTACTACGATTTACCGTAAACCTTCATCGGTTTGCCTTCCACCACACTTTAAATCATGTCATCCGACTAAACAAAAGTTAGCTTCATTTTATTCCTATGTTTTCTGTGCTCTTCAGTTTGCTCCTCCAAACTATCCCTTGATGAGAAACTAAATTATTTAAAAGCAATAGCTGTTGACAGGGGCTTTTCCCCCAACATTATTAATCAAGCAGTTAAAAAATTCTCATCTCAACACACTAAAAGTGTTACTCTTGTTTTAGGAGATTATAAAAATTATGTTGTCATTCCCTTTTTTCCATCAAATAGCTATAAAGTTGCACATATTTTGCAGAAATTTATCTTTCGGGTTGTTTATTCTCCCATCAATAAAATTCCAACTTCTATACTCAAGGACCCCATTCCGGATATGAATTCCTGGGGTATTTATAGGATTCCTTGCCAGTGTGGTTTAATTTACATTGGCCAAACTAAGAGAGCCTTAAAATTTCGCGTCAAAGAACATGAGGCTTATGTTAGAAAAAAGAAACACATAAGTCTTCTGTTGCTCAACATTGTTGGTCCGAAAATCACACTTTCAATTTTTCTGCTGCCAAAATTGTTCAAAAAACATCTTCCATTGGAGAACTGGATTTCTAGAGGCATTTCACATTCAAAAAAATCTTCCTGTTCTAGTTAATGATCCTAATTCTAATCCATCTTTGCCTTCGGCCTTTAAAGAAATTATGTTTTAGTTCTGGTTTCACCAACAGATGGCGCCACTTGCTTATTCCTGTCCAGGCTTTCTTATCTTATCTAATCATTATTTCCTATCTTGTTCATTTGCGGTTTTGCAACTGAGGATGGTGGTTCGGTAAAACTATCGAAACTAGTCCTGTGAAAATTTTGAAAATATAACACTGATTTTTGTTGTTTGACTTCTGAGTTAGTATTTATTCGGCGTGTTATTGTGTCTTAATAAAATATCTGTTTGTAATACCCGGCTTTCCCAAACTTTTACGCTTGTTTGAAAATTCCCACCTTAAGTTTTCCTTTAAGATTTCCTGATATTCAATTACAACATCACGAACAGTAGGTTTACAGCAAGCCATAACTAAAAGCAAAAATCTCACCTTCAAAGTAGCAAAAATCTTATTTCCAAAACAATATTCTCCACGATGTCTGAGTGTTAAATAATGACGTATAACAGTGTTACAAATTTTATATTTAGATAGTTAATTTTAGTAGAATTATAATTAAAATATTGTAATTACGTTGTATTTCCTCGTGCAGTGCAGAGGGAGAGAAATTTTAAGAGTAAGCTATGCCGGAAAAGTAAGAATATAGGGTGACGTGCTACTTTAAAGTCTGTGCCTTTGCGTATATGAATAGCTCGGTAATTTGTATTGAAATTGAAAATTGTAGTTGACCACTGCTACCTCTAACCGTAAATCCAGGAATTTTTGGTTTACATTGCGTTTGCCGAATTGTATGGGTTACCACATCCTATCATTTATCGCTAAGCTTATAAGGTATTTCTCCCGCCTTCCTAGCGTGCCCTCGGGGTGTAGTGGTTCTGAACGCTGGGCCGGTATTCCAGAGGTCCGTGGTTCGATTCCCGGCGAAGGCATTGCTAATTTTTCATCTTGCGTGCTTCCAAAAAATACCTAATGTCTCTACAGTGACGCCCGAACTAAAAGGGTGTTGGATGATGATTTTCCACACCCGAGGAATTGGCGATTGGGTCCCCTAAAAAAACCACAGTCGCTCTTTAAAAGGGGGAGTATATAAGGTATTTCTTCCACCTTCCTAGCGTGCCATCGTGGTGTAGTGGTTCTGTACGCTGGGCCGGTATTCCAGAGGCCCGTGATTCAATTCCCGGCGAAGGCGTTGCTAATTTTTCATCTTGCCTGCTTCCAAAATATACCTAATATCTCTAGATGCTTGGCGATATTTTTTGGTGAAAAATCTGGGTTGGCTATACTAAAGGATAGCCACTTTCTTTAAGAACTAAGAAATTAAAATAAAAATTATTCTTTTATAGAATTGTTTTTTAAAATTCTTTTGAATTCTATTATTATTTTATAATTTAATACTTGGTGAGAATTGGCAACAAAAAAAGTGGCGCATTTTTAACTGATGTCATCTAATGGAACAGTACCGTTAAACCAAAGGGATGGATCAACTTGAAATCACCACAACAGAAGTTTGGTAAACAGAAAGTGGAACAAAACACAACAGAAGGGGGAACACACGCAAGCGGGAAGAATCAAAACCAAAAGTGCTCGTTACAGTAAAACATTTCATGTCCTAAAGTCGCCGTTAAAAGTGATATTGGTTGATCCGACTCCTGGATATGGATAAAACAGCATGGAACCGCATTTAATATAAAAAATATATTTTGCTTCACACAGAGAAGCGAGATTCGTACTAGAAGCATTCTATAGCAGTCTCTCCTCCGAATGGCACCCGCCAGAAGAGGCTCTGAGGCGAAAGTGAAGTTGTGATGTGCAGCTCTTGCTGATTGTTTGATGCGAGATGTGTCTTATTATTATTATTATTATTATTCGTTCTTTCTTTTTCTATAATAGACAATGAGTTTCTCAGTTCAGGTTCGTGCCAGTATGGCCTTGCAGTTAGTTTTACAGCCATAAACATGAAAGCGATAGACGCTGTATATAAAATAGCAGTAAAGTATTTGTGTTTCCTTTTTCACTGTTTAATGTAAATCAAAATGTGATGTCGAAAAATAAATTGTTTTCTCCTAGGAGAAGATCCTTTTTCAAACTGAGACATCATGTTTACAGTCCTTGCGCACAAGATAAGGTAATGAAGTTTTTTCTTATTTTTAAACCAGATTAATAACAGAACCTTCATACGTCGGTGGATGCTGGCAACTTCAGTCAACAGCAGTTGATTAATTACATATCTATTAATTTTGGTACACAGATAGAGAACATCCGTTCCTTCAAGAAAGAGAGAGAGAGAGAATAGCTCAATCATTTAAAAAGTGTAAAAGCCATGTTTTAATGCTTCTTTAAAGAAATATCTATGAAATATGATTAACTCAATTTGTTTTAAGAGTGGTGTAAAATGAAACAGAGAGAAGGAAAAGAGTATAATTAGATTATTAAAAAAGGTGTTAAAGTCCTGTTTAGGTAGTGCTTTAAGGCGGTTTGTTGACAAAAGTCTGCCTATTCGTTCAGCATAAGTAAATTTAGCCCTGAATTATCTCATAAAAAATGCAGTGCCGTACTGAAAATGTCTGCTGCTACATAAAATACATCTTCAAAATTCCGCTGAATTAAAAAATAGCATACTTTATCATGTTATTAATAAATATTTGCCGAATATTACTTTTGATTTTTTTTAGCGTTTTTTCAATTAGTATCAATATTGAAAAATAGACGGCGCCACAACTCCATTTAGGAGGATAGTCAGTTTTCAGTTTGGAGAAACATTTAATTTTTCTGCATTAAAATGGTTAATTTTTTACCTTAGGAAACGAACCTCTCAGTGGAAAAGATTTACATGGGCTGTCTTACCAAATAAACGAAAGTGATCGGCATAACACACACTCACACATAGTCCCCGAAAAAATGAAAGCGATATTAGACTTGCCTCTGTGAAGATAGTAATTGAATTTGTATTTTTTTTTTTTTTTTTTTTTTTTTTTTCTAAATAGGGAAAAAACATTGAATTGAGAACCTTGTAAGGATAATTAGAAGCTAAGGCTCCTTTAGAGGATTCTTACTCTCAGCCAGAGAAAGACAATTTATAAATAAAAAAAGTATCCATACTTTTTGTTCCATAATATAAGACGTCTTTTTAGACATTAATATAGGATGTCTAAATGAACGATAATGATTATCACTTTTTTGAACTGTAACACTGTTGTCTCTTTCCAAAACTGCATTTCCCATTTCCAAGAATAATCATCATGGTGAAATGGCGCTTAAAGGGAGAATAGATCATTATTGTTCATTAATATAGGATGTCTAATAAAATATCGTATATTTAAGAGTCTGTTGTTGAACCAGTCCTGTCTGTTGGATTTGAACCTTGGTCTAACTACAAGTCGTCTTTAGGTGTTTTACGCTCTGCTTTTCGCGTAGCGGGCTTTTCAATTAAAGAAGTATAGTTTCTAAATATATATATATATTTTTTTACTTATCCACAGTTTTCAGTCTGTAGATATTTCAATGTGTGCAGTTCCGTCGATTCTTCTCTGTCTTTGCTAATTTGAAAATGTTTGGATGCATTTAGATCTCGTGTCATTTCATGCATATAAACGAAGTAAAATTAGATAAATAAAAATATTTTAGTTATGAAACTGATGCTTTGTTTCTTTTACATTTTAATCGTTTTTTTTTTTTTTTTTTTTTTAAATCCCTTTTTGGTATGTTTTATGCATTGTTGTTTGGCAATGACTCTTGTTTTATAGTTTCGTTTAGAGTTGTGTGGTTACGGATCCTTTGGTTACGCATCGTTGGAAGCGGTGTTTTGAGATTAAAATTCAGGCTGACATGTGGTATTATTAATGTATGGCGACTAAAAATAATAACACATCTTCTGATCCCGAGGTATTAACTTCATCTATTTAAATATAAGTTGTTAAATCTATTTAATCTATTTGAACTAATGAAAATGACATCACTAAATAAATTATACATGTTAATATTCAGAGTTTGTGATTTATTTACGTGGGACGAAACTGCGTTTAATTTGATGAAAGGGAACCCCGGAATTTTCTTAGCAGCAGTTGTTAATATGATAAATATAATTTTGATCATCTTATAAAAAAAATATCATATAATTATTTAAAATATGCTTATTAATAAGTATTCCAATTTTTAGTAAGAAGTTAAACTTTTAAAAATGAAATCAAGTTTCATTATTCGAGACCACATACCTGTGTAAGTTTACGGATTGTAGGTGAACTGACTTTTTATCCAAAGTGAGAAATAGTATTATTAAAGACTTATTTAATCATTATCATAATCGTTAGTTGCCATCCATCATAATATTATTTGATTATATATATTATAATATGATTATCATATATGGATGTAGTAGTAATTATAATATGATTACTATTACATCCATATATATTATAATATGATTATGATGGATGTTATTTCCAGTACTATATTTGGAGTTTTCTGTAATATATAAAGAACAAGAAAATTTTTTTAATTGGTAAAAGTATATTTTAGGGTGCCCCTTGATTTTAAACCAAACAATAAAGTAACATAAAGGAAAAACATCTTATACATTTAAGCACTACAAAAAGACCAGCAAATACCCACTTGCCCTATTTAGAAGTTCCTTCGTCTTTAGTCTGTGGCACACAAATTTCCTTAACAGCATCTAAAAACCCTCATATTATCTGAATTCGAATCCATATATCAGCGTCGCCACATCTGAACCTTTCTTCCTACAAACCCATTCAAATCCATCTAAACGGTTTTTACGTTTGACTGAATGCATATCCTTCCTACATACAGGACACTTATAATGGCTACTAAGTAAACCTTCATTTACACAGTTCTACTGTCTAAACAAAAAAACCAACACACACCACAAAAGCGCTTACAAAACATCCCACGATTCAAAATTTCCCAGAATCATGCACCCGATTACATCACAATAAGGTTTCCATAATATTCAACTACTCAGGCTACCATAAATGAAACAACAACTTTACCATAATACAAGGGGTACCTTAAAGTCTACTCTATAAAGTATATAGTCTTAAAGTCTACTCTCTACCTTAAAGTCTACCTTAAAATTTATAGGTGCATTCATTTTACTGCTGGAACAGAGTTTAATCGTATATTTTATTCTTTTCTTTCAGGTGGGACTTGGTGAACCACTGGATACTTTAAAAATTAAAATCTGTGGTAAAAATGGAGTCCAGAAAATAGTTCCAGCAGTGGTAATATTGCACTTAATTGTAAAATTTACATTTAGAAATATATTAAATAAATATTCAGATAACTGTTGCTGTGTGTATAAAACTTTTACGGAACAGAGGTATATAAATGCGTTTCATATAGGAAAATAATTAAGTATAATGTTTAATTGGTTAAAATATTATGTTTAATTATATTTAAATGATTAATGATGCCTAATAATTATGTAATTAATGTAAATTAATGTTAGCCTTATAAGTTAAATTAATGTGTGCTAATAATTATATAGTTAATATAAAATAAGTAATTATAATAAATAAATATTAATTCTTGATATAAAATTTTTAGGGGAAAGTGCATAATCACCCACTGCTTCGCACATTTCTCAAAATCACCAACTTGAAAAAAACAAGTCAAAGAATTGCACAAACTCAATATCCATGTACACATCATCCTATTTTCACTAAAAAAATCTGAGAATTACACAAACTTGGCATTGCACACTCCCTTGACTTTGTCAATGTACACATCGATATGTGCCATATAAGTGGGTGATTCTGCCTTCACTTGAAAATAACAAGTCAAAGAATTGCACAAACTCGGTATCCATGTGCACATCCACTTATTTTCACTTAAGGGGCTGTATACCTTCTAACACATTTTTTTTTAAATTTTTAAGTTTGTACATTTAATTTTGGCTTTAAAGTAATTAATGGTGAAAAAATGAAGAAGCTGAGTTATTTAATGACCATTAATTTTGTATTTTTGGAGTAAGAAAGCAAGCAAGCTAGCAAAAAAAAAAAAAAAAAAAAAAAAAAAAAAAAAACAGCAATATTTACGATAAATTAGAAATACTCTGTTAAAAAAAGTATAATATATTTCATTTTTTTTGTAAAATGCAAACCCATCATAATGATATTCTCAAGGCGGTAGACTATTATTTTAAAGCTAGGAAGTTATTTAAAAATGTTTTAAGCTAGAATGCATTAATCTTTGGATTATGGTAACTTGGCGATTTTTTGGTGAAAATTTATCGACCAACCCTGCTACAGCAACCTGCTAGTTTTTGTTTGGACGCCATTTTGTTTTCACGAAGTAAAGGCATTTTTTTTTTTACTCAACATTTTTTTCCAACAATCTGCTAGCCGAATTACGCTTATGCTAGAACTTTTATGGAACAAAAGTGCTTAATCGTGACGAAGATTAGGTGCGAAATTGGGGGAAAGTGCAGAATCGCAAACAGCTTGCTGTGTTTTTAAGAATTGCACATACTACGCAGTATCCAAGTACACGTCGACCTATTTTCACTTAAAAAAACATCCCAGAATTACACAAAAATGGCATTGCGCACACTCTTGACTTTATCCATGTACACTGCTAAAGTCCTAGCTAGTAACCTTTATCGCCTTACCAAAGTGTCGCCAAACTACCTGTTACCATATTCCAAAGATTAGCCCTAGAATGTTTAACATAACAAAGAAAAAGCATATTTTCTCGTTAAAATTCATGTTTAATACATGATAACTTTATAAAAATGCATTTATCAATTAGTAAATAGTCTATCTCCACATGTATACCAATTTGCATAAGATTTCAATCATAATTTTTAGAGATATTGTGTTTCATATTACAGTCAAAAATCGTTAATTCGGACACCCATAATCCGGAATGATCTATAATCCGAACCTCAAAGCTACAAACTTTCTGCACATGCGTTGTGTTGACGCATGCGCGTAAGACCTTTACGGCTGCGAGTGTGCGCAAAATACGTTTACGAGTGCACGTTTAATGTATAATGGACGGTATAAGCTAAGCTAAAATTATCTAATTCAGTTAATGTTGCAGCTTGTGTAGTTCCTTAATCTTCGAATTGGATTCGGCTTATTATTTTTTGCAGACTGTTAGAGCAATTTTATAAAAGTAAGCTTGAACTTTTGATTATGTCAAATAGAATTTCTGATATATATTTACTAATATGTAAAGGATCTACAAAGCGAAAGTATGTTTCGAAGTCCATTAAAGAAAAAGTGGAATTGCTGCAAAAAATGGATAAAGGCATATCCTTTGTTTATCTAAGCTTTAATGTTTGTTTATCTAAACTTTGTTTATCTTTAACGCCGTGGCATGCAATGAATTGGAAGTTGATCTGTCAGCACTATCCTTATCTTCAGGGTAGATGTTTTTATTTTATTTGGCTTATAATTCTTTACTAAATGTAGTATTTCATCTTGATATACTCCGTCTTTGATATGATTTAAATCGGTACTTTTCCGTTTCGCTGGCGCAAATCTCGCCAAGCAGACTTTGTTGGTGACAACACAGAGAATACACATAGAAAATGTTAACAAATATTAGTTCTAAGAATTTTTTATTTTGAAGGCATAAACATTCTAATATGGTTTATAATTTTCTAAAAAGCCAATAAATAAAGACAACAAAGACATTAATTAAGATATTAAATAAAGACAATAAAAGACATTAATTTAAGAATTTACTGTGCCATCATGGTTCAACATCCTGATTCGCCGGTTCGTATCACCCCAAGTGATTGCATCTCACGTAAACTATGCTACAAAAATCTAATTCTCTCAGTAATTATCTACATTAATTTCAAGTTGAATCTTAATTTGGAATAAAAGTTTAAATGCAAGAATTATTTCAATTCGTACGAATAGCTTACTCAGAAATTATGTAAAACCGTAGTGCTTTACTTCGCTAGTGCATTCTAATTAGAACTGATGAAATTTAACCCTTGATTTTTGCCTTTTCTATATTTTCGCCTTTGGGTGCGCGGTGTGATTGCATCCTAATTGACTTAATTACCGCGAATGGTCTTCGGGCATAAAATTTAATTATCTTTGTAAATATTATATGTAATTGTATGCCAGTATTGAAAGAAACAATCAATCCGGTTAGAAATGGCTGCGACTTGTTTTGAAAATGAAGTGTAAAAGGTTATTAGCGAAGAATATTCCGTTTGGCATCTGTTGTACCATTATTGGTGACTTTATCATTTGCGCTGGCAAAACGGAAAAGTACCTTTAAATCAAATTCTTCCGATAGCGAAGAAAGTGACAGAGGTTATTGAAAACGAAAAAATTTCGATTGACAAATTAGTCGGTATTCTCGACACAGCAATGATAGGACTTGAACAGCGGAACTTTGTAACTGAACAAGAAATTATGTCTGTTTATAGAATTAAAGAGAAAGTATTATCACATGAAATGAAGCAACTTAAACAACTTACATTGAAAGAAATGTTTAATAAAGTAAACAAATAAATATTAAGCTTTTTCTTTTTGTAAATTTTGATATCCTTTAGATCATAATTGTTCTTTATTTCATAAATTATGGTTTCATATTTTTAATTTTATAATTTCTGCAAGCCGTCTTACGAGATTTAAACTGATGATCTATAATCCGGAATCGTCGAAGTCCCGATGAGTCCGGATTAATGACTTTTGACTGTAGCATTAAAACACGAAAAATGAAAAACGAGATAAACACATTTAAAGAATTCAAACACTCGATTACCTACTTTTGATCAGTTTGTAAACATAAAATTTCGTTAATTTATAAGTAATGCCCTCTTGTTTCTCAGAATTAAAATTTTTTTTGCTTTCTAGCAGCTTTTAAAATTTTTCTCTGCTTTTAAAGCAAAATCAGGGAATGTCGTTTTGCATTGTCGATATGGTTAACATCAAACCTTTCATACTCGTTTGCATTGTAGTAACCAATATCTATACCTAATTTAACATATCTGTACCTAATCTATATCAGTATTTGTCTATATCTGTAAAAATTAATGAATATTACTGTGTAATAAATAAATAAAGAGCTTATCAGCAATGTAAACCCAGAATCAAAACACGAGCAGAAATGTGTTAGTGAAGTACAGTCAAAAGTCGTTAATTCGGACACCCATAATCCGGAATGATCTATAATCCGGACCTCAAAGCTACAAACTTTCTGTGCATGCGTCGCGTTCACGAATGCGCACAGGCGTTTACGAGAGCGCGTAAGACCCTTACGGCTGCGAATATGTTTGTGCGCATGCGCGTTTAATGTGTAACGGAGTTATACGCTAAGCTAAAGTTATCTAATTCAGTTAATGTTGCAGATTGCGTTGTTCCTTAATCTTCGAAATGGATCCGGCTTCTTATATTTTTTGCAGACTGTTAGAGCAATTTTATAAAAGTAAGCTTGAACTTTCGATTATGTCAAATAGAATTTCCGATATATATTTACTACAAAGCGAAAGTATGTTTTTTAAATCCGAAATCTGTTTATCAATTTCACGCTGCTCTGGAGGGGCAGAGGGGCAGAAACGTCATTATTAGATTATGATGGATTAGAAAGATTATGTCAAATAGAATTTCCGATATATATTTACTAATATGTAATTTGTATCTACAAAGCGAAAGTATGTTTTGAAATCCGAAATCTGTTTATCAATTTCACGCCCGGATTGGAAGTTGATCTGTCAGCACTATCCTTATCTTTAGGGCAGATGTTTTTATTTTATTTGGTCTATAATTCCGTACTAAGTGTAGTATTTCATTTCGATGTACTCTGTCTTTGATATGATTTAAATCAAGTTCCTCGTCATTATAATTCGCTTCCGATAGTGAAGAAAGTGACCCAGAGGTTATTGAAAACGAAAACAGTCGGTATTCTCAACACAGCAATTATAGGACTTGAACAGCGGAACTTTGTAACTAAACAATAAATTATGTCTGTTTAATAGAACTAAAGAGAAAGTATTGTCACATAAAACGAAGCAACTTAAACAACTTACATTGAAAGAAATGTTTAATAAAGTAAACAAATAAATATTAAGCTTTTTCTTTTTGTAAATTTTGATACCCTTTAGATCATAATTGTTCTTTATTTCATAAATTATGGTTTCATATTTTTAATTTTGTAATTTCTGCATGCCATCTTACCAGATTTAAACTGATGATCTATAATCCGGAAAAATCGATAATCCGGAATCGCCGAAGTCCCGACGAGTCCGGATTAA